AATTACTCCCTCCACTCTGGCCTCCCATGACTCCTCTTTTCCCAAGGAACCGGGCCTGAAGATCGTGGTTGCTAGAGTTTAACTACTTAACTCCTGCGATATCTGCAGCAATTTTCACTTTTCCACCTGGGTCTGGCATCAAGACAGAGTCAGGAAGACCGGAGGTAGAAGAGGACGCAGGCCCACGCACTGTGGGCCATCACAACCCGAAGACTACAGGAAAATTGAGGGCGCGGCTCGGATCCCAGCTGCATGGGAATGCCATGAAAGTCACATTAAGAAGGAGCCATCGCAGCCTGACTCTCAGTCCGCCAGTCAGTCACTCCACACATCACTACATACATTGGGCTGAGCACGTGGTCCGAGCTATCCTCGCCAGCTGGCAATTATTGAAGCTACCGCATCTAGTGCACCGTGATAGTTTCGAGCACTTCAGCTGGTTTATAGTAAAAAATGTGCTGAGCCATCGATCTCACTCTCTCCCTCACTGCCAGCATCAGACCACCGTCTGAGCCGGTCACTTGTCTGACGATGGATGGGTGAAGTAGCTGATAGGACCGGCGAACTGGTCTGCGCACGCCACAGCACGACCTGTCTCCCCGATGACACACCATGGTTTGCACAACCAGAGGACTAGAAGGAGCCATCGCCATATAACTCCCAGTCCACTCAACAGCCAATAAACACACGACACGCACTAGGCTGACGGCGCGCTCCGGTAAAGCATCAGCTGGTAGCCTTCTCAGCCACGGTAAACCACGATAGTCTCAAGCTCGCACCACACATGTAGCAGAGGAACTGCATACAAAAGTGTGATGATTACAGTGTTCTGAATACATCCACTGTTTAGAACCTACACGCCCTCTGGCTGACGCTCCAGCTGTACAGGTGGCAGCGTCAGCCTTGCCTTGGTTTCGGGCAACGTCTGTTTCCATCGACACAGTCAGACCCGCAGTTGCCCTGGATTTAACTATTCAGTTAGTCGTTGGTCACACTGTCGACTTATTGTCGGGAGCCAACGTCACCGTCTGACGTCCTTAGTCACAACCCACTGTCTCATGGTCATTCAACTTTACAGTGAGCGGTCTCCTACTCGCTGAACTGCAGACACTTTACCGACTTCCATTCGGACACACATACACACGTGCATCCAGAAAGTTGCAACTGCCCAAGTGCCCCTTGTACGCCTCTCTGAAGAACTCGATCCATTCTCTTCTTCAGCGACGTAGACCTAGTAACAAAGATCCAAGCAACATCACCATATTTTCACGGACAATGTTGAGCCTGGTTGAGTGCACTTATTTAACAATATCCGGTGGACAGCAGTACCCAATAAAGGACAACAATACTGAACTCTGACGACAAAAACATGCCCAAATATCCTTATTCCTCTATTTCTAATGGTCTAAGAGTAGTCACGATGGATGTAGACTGTGAAGTACAAGAATAAGTAAATCTACTTCGTTCAACGGGTAGTTATCGGACAACAGGGATCAAACCTCTCCAATTTGCGCTCACTTCCACGTGCAACGTTAACAACTTAAAGCATTTTTCATCAAAATATTACCCCCCCCC